CCGAAAACCCTGTTCCTCAGGTAACTGGCACTTTTAGCTTACCAGCACCCCCTATTCCCCACTCATGCCAGATAACAGGGATTTTACTGCATTTGCTTTGTAGAAGTTAGTAGTAGTATATTTTAAAAACTGTTAGTTTAAAAATGAATTGTCACAAACCATTATAAAAATATTCTGGATTTTTTTTTCAGGTTTTAAGTTACATTCGTACAGAATGGGATCCACTTGATGCTAGTTTTAGCGCTAATCAGTCTTACCAAGTGCACACAGTAGAGCATTCCATCTCTGCAGACAAAGAGCCTATGGCTGACAGTTGCACTTATGAATATGTTAAGAACAAAATACAGTGTGTGGCAGTCACCAGAATACCACTGAGATCAAAAGCCATCACCTGCTGCAGAAACATTGCAGAAGACAAACTGATCCTTGGCTGTGAAGATTCTTCCATAATTCTGTACAAAATCCACCAAAGAGTGACTCTGTTAGCTCAGGCAGAAGTATTGCCTGCCTTAATAAGCTGCCATCCCAGTGGTGCCATATTTCTTGTTGGCAGCTCTCAAGGGGAACTGCAGCTTTTTGACACAGCACTATCACCAATTAAAATGCAGCTTTTGTCAGAAGACTGTTCACCCATGGCAACTTTGCAATTCAGCAAACAATTTGATGTGTCAAGTAGTCTCATCCAGATGCAGTGGGCAGCTCCTCAAGTTGCATTCCACAGCATTGATGGCACAGATGTTCATGATATTCTATTACTTAGATTTGACAATGGACCTATAGGAGTACTTCAGTTTAAATTCGGTAAGTCAGTGTGTGAGTGCATTGCATGTTATGGTATGTGGGTAATATCCAGATCTCAATCTTCTCTTATTTTGAAGGATAGCACTCAATTAAGTCTCAGAAACCCAGGTGCTCCAAGATATGTAGGTACCTAATTCCTAAATAGTATACAAGATCCGGGCTAAAGTTGACTTGTTTCACATAAATTTAATGTTCCCTCATATGTCTTATAAAATGTTATCTTGGTCTAAGACTGACACTTATAAATGCTACCCCAGTATAAGTAAAAAATCATTTCCATAGCTGAAAATTATTTATGTATGTCAGAATTACTTACTTAAGGCTATAGAAACATAATTGTCCACATTAAAAATCCTGCTTTTTTGTTTCATCCATGAATGGTGTGTATTTGTGTCTCTCACATTACAGTGGGTCTTGCCAAACATTTTATCAATATTTCAGCTTGTCATGTTGAGAGATATGATTATACCTGCCACAAACCTTTCTAATGTTCTTGAGTCCAGTATGTGTGGGCATTTATAGACGTGCTCTGAGGGAGTAATTACCATGCTCCAGCAGACTCGATTAATCAAGTCTGCTTTGAAAAATTGAAGTAGCCTTTCTGCACATGTATGGAAGCCCTGTGAACATCGCATTTAATTTCTTCAAGTCTCTTCATAAGAAGAAATGTTTTATATATTTTGGGAAAATTTAGTCAATAAAATAACATACTCAGGTTTGTGAGCCAAAATGGAATTAGTGACAGTAACAATATTTACCATATTTACTTGAATACAAGACAAGATTTTTTCCCCCCCAATCAACATGGGGGAAAAGTTCCTTATCTTACATTCACATATAAGGGAACCTCATTAAATACATTGTCTATCTTTGAACTGCTGCTAAGTAATGGAAACCGACTGTAACCCTAATTTTTCATTTATAGGCTGCGTGTCTGAGTCTGTGCGCACCCCCTCTCTCTACTCCCCCGCCACCCCCGCTGCAGCCACCTGGAGCCCACACCCAGGCTGCCTGGTGGCCCTCTGCACTGCCATCTCTGCCCCAGCCTTCTGCTGCCTATGCATAGATGAACAATCCCAAGTCTGGCAACAGCCATCCCCCCACCTCTCTTACTTTGTACAGGTCAGATCTAGCCAAATTCTCCCTTTTGGCATTCCAAAAGAACACACATATTTCCCTCTGTATTTTTTCTGCCTGCTACCATGTCAGAGGGAATACAATTCCCACATATAGAGTAATCAGCAGTAGCACAGCCTTAACTGCCACTGCTTTTCTGACAAAAGACTTCTTCCAGACCATAACCAAAATATTTGATGTATCTTTGCTGTCACCCTTTCCCATGCTGTGTTACCTTTTCCCTTGGCATCCATCAGGATCCCTAGCACTCTAATTTCACTCTCTCTTATTTAAAGGCCCAGCTTCTTCAAGACCCTCTAGGTTCCCACTGCCATTATGGTGCTTTTTGATCTATTTAGTCTAGTCCCTATCACTTCTCCACACACTGATGTATGCTTTACACCCTTTCAATCAAAAGTCTGTCTTTAACTACTACGTTTATATCATCTATGTATAATACAAATTTAACCTCTCCCCCACCCTGTATCTTTACTCCACTTATGACCTTGTCTTTTCTTATTGTTTGTGCTAACGGTTCCATGCCACACACAAATAGTAGTGGTGACAGGGGGCACCCTTGCCTCACTCCTGTATGGATTTTAAAGGTTCCACTTAGATGTCCATTAATTTGGACTTGATTCTCCACTTCTCTGTACAATAGCCTTATCCAACATACAGATTTCTCTGGGAACCCCATTTTTCCTAGCACTTTGAATATGTAGTCATAATCCACTCTGTCATATGCTTTTTCTCAATCTAGGTTTGGTATAACTGTTTGTTTTCCTCTCTTGGTTTGGGACAGTGTATCTCTGTTCACTCTGATTGCTTTGGAGATCCTGGTACTGCATATACTTCATCTTCATGTGTTATCTTCTGGAGGTTTTTCCTCATCCTCAAAGCCAGCATCATGGCTATTATTTTATAGTTCATATTAGGGAGTGTAATTGGTCCCCAGTTTTTCAGGAGTTCCTTGTCCCCTTTCTTGAAAAATAAGATCACAACACCTCTTGTAAAATCTTTCCCTGCCTCCCCTGTTTCCACTATTTCCTTGAAAACGTCCACTATATCCCTCCCTACCAATAAACAGAACTTCTTGTAAAATTCCATAGGTAGTCCATCTGGTGATTTGCCTCTTTTAAAGGTTTTTAAGCAGTCCTAGAGTTCCTTTAAACTTATCTTTTCTTCCATCTTATTTGCTTCCTCCTCCTCTTCTACTTTCTCATCAGTCTTCTCTAGCAAATTCTTCATCTTCCTATTTCCTTCTTCTGATCTGGTTCTTCTTATAAACTTCTCATTGCCTCCAACACCTCTTCCTGCTTCTCCAGCCAGGTACCACCTTCTTCCCACACTGCTTTTAATTCTCTTTTTGCCATCTTCACTCTAGCCAAAAAGTATCAGGACCACTCTTTGTTTTCTCCCATGTCTTCTTCAGTGCTTGTGCTAAAAGCATTTTCTCTCTCATCTTTCTTTTAAACCAGTATTATATCTCTTGCCTTGTTTCTTCTAGTTCTTCTCATACCCATCCTCCTTCCGTGGCTTCTGTTAGCAGCTCTTGCATCTTTCTTTGTAGCTCTCTCTCCTCTTTGGTTCTTTTCCCCACAATTCTTTGGCTTTCCTTCCTGAAGAATTCTCCCATCCTCTTCTTTACCATCATCCACCATTCTTTGGAATTCTTAAACTATTTCTTCGGTGTTCTCCACCCCTTATACTGTCTTGTGTATGCTTGACATATCTCTTCATCTTGTAACAGTCTCATATTTAACTTCCACATTCCCCCTGCCTTACAGGGCTCCTACTAAGACTCAGTTCTGCCTTCAGCATCTAGTGATCACTAATTGCTACAGATATGGTTTCTTTCTTCCTTATCTCTCTTTCTTTTGATACAAACACAAAGTTGGTTCTTGATAGTTTCTTTCTGCTGGGGTCAGTATTAGTGAAAACTTTCTTCCCTGACCACACCTCTGTTAGTGACTCTTCTTTAATTATATTTGTTAACACTCTGGATGAACTGTCTAAAGTTCCAACTCCTCCTTCCCCTGTTCTTTGACCCACTTCTATTGTGCAGTTGAAGTCCCCTGCTATTATCTGCGGTCTCCTTCCAAACACATAAACTTCTAGCTTTCTAAGCAGAGCCTTCTTCCTCTCCCACTCTGGTGGTGCGTATACATTGAAAGCTTCTAATTCTGCTCCCCTGATTGATATTATCATTTACTGCAGTTTGCCACTGATGATATCTTCTACCTGCTGTGCATTCACCTCTGGATTCATGAATAATATTGCCACTCCAGCCACTCTGTTCTCATTTGTCCCTGACCATCAAGATCACCTCCACCTCTTCTCAAAATGTTTGTAATCCATCCCCCAGTATACCACATTCTTGTAGGCAGATTATTTCTGCCTTCACTTGATTTAACAATGGTTTGACCTGTTCCTATCTTTTCCTTGGAAAGACACTCCTGGCATTTATTTAAGCTACAATCAGTGCAGCTGTGCTTATGTTAAACTGAGTGCACCTGTCCCTTTAAGGATCATCTGTGCCGCTGCTCATCATGGATGACTCCACTTTCCACTCCCACCCTCCCTGCATACCTGTTGCTCTTGCAAGCTGCCTGACTGCTTTTGCAGCTAGGAAGACTTCTGTTTTCCCAGCTTCCTGCCACTTCCCACCACCTGCTCTACAATCTAGGCTGGAGCCCAAGGGAGTTGATACCAAGAAGCTGTTCTCTGGCTCGGACTCCACCTCACCTCCCTCTTTATCAGGTTTCTTCTTCCTGACTTTCTGTCCCTGCACTTTCTTCTTTTTCCCTGCCTGTGTCTCTGGCTCTTTTCCTTGCTTCATCTCCAGTTCTGTTGTCTGCCAGATTTCTTTCTTCTGCCCTTCCCCTACCTCCATGTCTTTTGATCCTTTGTTTGCTGTTCCCTCCTCCCCTTCCGTTTTGTTTCCAGTTCTCTTGTGCAGCCTCTATACAGAGATTCCACTTTCCTCTGTCTCCGTTTCTCCTCCCTCTGGAGTCCTCTCTAGCATTTCTATCTCAGTCTCTTCCCCCTCCTCTTCTTCACTGTCTCTTTCCAATTCTTGTGGTTCCTTGGCGAGTCTGACCTTGGTTGCAAAAGCTGTTGGGCACCTATGATACAAATGTCCCTCCTCCCCACAAACGATGCATTTTATGAACTCCTGGCACTCTGCTGCTCTGTGCCCCGTCCCTTCATACCTGTAACATGCTAGGAGGGGACAGTATGCATCCAGGTGTCCTTCCTTCCTGCATCTACTACGTTGTTTCAGTTGCCTATAGTATATTACAAAACCACAATGTGGTCCTATCTGGACTACCAACAGGAGGCCACCTGGGCTCCATTCATTTGGTTTCAACACCACTCAAGCCCTCCAAGACCTTGTCCAAATACTATATTTGTCCCTCACTTTCTCTACCTGCAGAACTCTTTGCACATACTTTTCCAGACACCTTTCTATGTCTTTTGCCTCTAATGTGTCCATATACATTCGGACAATAATTACTCTTTCCCTTGACTGGTCTGCTGCTACAGACTTTAACCTTTTAATTCCTCCCACCCCACCCCTTTCTCTGCATATTTCTCCTAAAATTTGCTATGCCCTTCTTTGTTCCAGTAACTCAGTTGCCATGTCTTTTGGTTGGAGGCAGCAGTCATGCTGCTGTGACATTCCACCTGCACTCCCAGTATTTCAAACAGTACCTTCCCCACAGAATCATATCTGTTCATCATCAATCCCTTCTGCACCCCTTCACCAATTAATGTTGTCCTTATCCATAGTATTCACTCTGGAACAGCATCCCACAATATCTCTTCCGTATCTTCCTACTATGCCAGTCCTGGTGAGTCAACCTTTTGTCACACTCCCGAAT